CCCCCCCCTCAGCCATGGGCTCCTATAATCGTCACCACCTTTCACCTCACTAGCGACGGCCCTGCCTGTTGGGCATGTACTGTACCTCATTAAACCAAAACACTGCCTATTCCAGCCTAATCTAATATTGATTTTGTTCTGACAAAGCAATTACAAAAGCTGGTTAGCTGTGAGTTTAAAGTCTGATTATCTCTGGGCTAGTGTTTCAAGGTTGTGTGTTGTCATTTGTGTTTCTTGTGATTTAAATCTCAATCACAGGTCTCACCTTAGACCAATATGCAAATTGGTTTCTCAAACTGTGAGATTAACTTTGATAAAGCACTCTCCCATGGCATTGTGTATGATTGGTTTTTCTTTGTCATGTAGGCCAGTCTGTTATAAAATCTTTTATATCAGTTGGATTTAAAAATTTTCAGAGACGTTGAATTAAGTTATAGTTCACAAAATCATATGGTGTAAACCACTTTTAAATAGAAAGGAAAATTCTATTATCTAAATGCATGTTATTGTTCTCATTGTGAATGATACATTCATACAAATGTTTCTTTTATTAAAGTTTGTTTTGAATCAAAATGTAATGATTCGATCTTCCAGCAAAATCACAGATAACTCTCTGACATATGCTGGACTTCTCCAAATATTTGGTATGCTTAAACCAGACCCTTTCTTACAATTGACTTCAAGCTCTCTATATCAGATATGCCTTCATCCAGTCAACAACTGATGGATAGATGGATTTATTTTTCTATTGTCTGTTTCTTTTGGATGTTTGTCATAATACGAAAGAAGAGATCGGTCACTACTTATGTTACATCACAACTTAATTTTTTTATTTATTGTATCCTACAAAATCAGACGAACATGTCTGTGTCTGTTGGTACTGTGTGAATTGGCCTTAAGAGGATGTAATGAACGTTTGATGTGTCAAGAGCCAAAATAATTGTATAGGCCTGTATCAACTGATTAAAGAGACAATCTAGATTTCATCACCAATTACAGCATGATTAGATGCCTGTATCTTTTCAGATATCTTATCAGTATTTTATCTCCTAATCAGTTTTCCTTCACTTTTTTTAAAGGTTGCAAAGGTGAATGGGATCTAGCATGCTGGCCATCAGCTAGGATTGGGGAGTTGGTCACCATCCCCTGTCCGAATTACTTCAGCCATGTCAGTGATCAGAGAGGTATGTCAATAACTTCTTCAATACATAAGAAGATGCTAAATGTTTTCTAATACACCTGGTTTTCTCCTTGTGTTTTCACTGTACTCCACTTCTAATATTCTTGATAAAGTCTTTTAAAGTCACTATATTCAACAGTCTCTGTGGGGACTTACTTTAAGAGAAAGCAAATGTCCTCACTACTGAATTAGCATCATAACCAATGTCACATTGTTCACAAAGCCTTCTTCTGATTAGTCTTTGATAACTCTTGTCTGTGCTATTGGGACCTGCTGCTGTAATTTAGCAGAAACATTGACACACGAACTGTATTCATGAGACTTTCTCTGGGAAGAGCCTCATGGGCCAATAATTTGCTGAGAACTCATGACCGCTGTAATTTATTCAAACGAGGAAAGCCATGGGTAACTTTGAATACTGTTTAGTAAGCCTTTTGTGGTTGTGTTTGGCTAATCAGGATTAGCTTTATATTTAGCAACTTAACATGAAATCAAGGAAGCTGTGCTTGTTATGGATGCTAAGTAGCAGACATGACTTTATATATTCATATAAAGTGGGGGTTGTTTCATTCAGTGATTTCATTCATACATACGTTGCTGTATGAGTGAATGTCCATTTGAGTCCTTGACTTGCTGATGTACTATTTGCTGACTGCCTAATAACTAAACTGCTTTCAGCATAATATTACTAGCTTGCAGTCATCTGGATCACTGCTGACCTCTCTGTTCTGTTAGACTGTCCAATGGACCTGTCAATCATACAGACCTTTGATGGACAGCTTTAAACATGAGCACTCATATCATGCCAGATGTCATTAAAATGAAGCCTTACCCTGATTTATTTTAGTGTATGTAACCATCTAGAGAATTGAAAAAATGGCCTTTTGTCATAAAGTTAATGTATCAGCTTTTATTTTCATATTTTCTGTAATAATTTTCATTTTGATTTGACTCAACCTCTTAAATTTCCCCTTTCCCCCTCAAGTACACAGAGGAGTAAAAGGAGTCATTTTTTACTTTAAATTTTTGATAGTTTGTAGGAACTGAGGACTGACTATGGCAGTTAAGTTTGACACAAGAAAGCCAATGAAAGTATGTCATGAGGTTGGGTTGCTCAACAATCATGAAATTGTAAGTGAAAATGACTGTGTGGATCAATAAGGTTTTCAAAGTGATCCTACTTTAAAAGCAGCAGTGGCATCCATGTAATGTAGGGTCCATTTCTGTAATGACATGTCATTGTGGAAAATACAGCACTTTTGGTTGAGCTCCAAAAAGTAGCTGTGACACATTGACTTTCTTTTATAGAAAGTGTCTGCGTTTTTTCTTTATATGATCTCCATATGGACAATACAGAATTTGAATTTATTTATTTGCATGTCCTTCCGCTTTCTGTCAGAATTTCAGCTTTGATTTACGACCATAATTTTCATCCTATGAACTGTTTACACACATCTAATGGCTTCCAGGTCATATCTGTGTCTTGCTGAAAGGGGCATGCCTTTCCTGTGAAACTCTGAGTGCTCTGAGAGAGTGCTTTCTGGAAGAAATCCAAAACATGTATTGAGGGATTTAGATTGTACAGGGTGAAATGCAGTGGATTTATCTTCCTCATGTGCTTGTGGAGTTCATGCCTTTGGTGAGCTGTGATACAGGCCAGATGTGATTGGGAAAAGACCTGCATATATTAGATTGGTGGTGGGCCGACTTGATCATGTGATGGGAAAAAACTGATAACTAACTGAGTGGGAATGTTGAGTTGGATTTTAGGGGAGACAAAGACATATATAACAAACGTGTTGATGGAACAATTTATGAACCAGAGGGAAGAACAAAGGACATGCACGGACCCAGTAGACACAAAAATCCTCATTAATTTATAGCGAACAGATTGAGGCTTTCTGGACCAATCAAAGGAAAGATTTGTTTTCCTTAGCACCGATTCCCAGAAACGCTTCATGTTTATTGCCCAGAAAGAGTATTTAAAAGATATTCAACAGTGAATGTTGATGATTTTAGCTAGAATTGTTTTATCAGGGTTCCCACAGTACGCACTAGTGTTTACGCTGCATTAGGGATCGCTGCGATCATGCTGATTTCAACAGAACTATGCGAAAGTTATGCAACAGTAAGTTGGATTGGATTGCTTTTGGAAAGCCAGTTTGCTGTATTCACGGCTTTTAATGGATTGCACATCAAAGCTTTCTATATTGTGTAGTCTCCTTCTTGTCTGTTTGTAGCCCAACCAGATGTATAGCGGCCCTTAAAATGACGTTATCCACACTATTTGTGGTATATAACAAAATATCAAACAAAGTGCCATTTATTTTTAGAAAAAATATGGTTTAATTACACCTATCAAGCAAAATATTTAATATATTTTGTGTGTAGAAATATCAGTTTATGGCTCTTTACTAATGGCAGTGATGCTTTGTGTAATCAAGCCTGAAGATTAAATCTGACTCCCGGTATTCCAGCTGTTCCTGTATTATCCAGCAGGAGTAAAATTCGTTCCTTGAAGCTTAATCTGTCCAGTGGTAGTATCAGATTATAGATTCAAAAGAATCTACCAGGTCTTGTGTTATGGACTAATCAAGAAGCAATTCATTTTTATAGGAGCATGGAAAGGAAAACAAGCGTTACGAAACTTGGCATCACACAGATCCAGGGACATGTCATAAATTTATTTTGGGTGGAGCTTCTAGTGTCCTAACACATGTGAACTTTTTACCCAGGAGCTTTACAGCAAACATACAGTCATTAATCTTCTCAACTGTTCAGAGTGGTTTCTTTGCTCATAACTTCACTTTCATGCTTCAGTCAAACATACTGTCAATAGCGCAGTGACCTCATGATCACACCTCATGTAAATGTTCAGAAAGTAAAGTTTACCAAGCCAAAACTGTTCAATGTTACTTTTCATGCTTGCAAGCAAAGGTAAACACACCTTAAAGGAAAGTTCCAGGTTCCGAAATGTGTGTCCTGTTGATTAACACACACACACACACACACACACACACAAATGCTGAATCTGGGCTACAGTGAGTCACAATAGAAGTGAATGGGGGCAATCTGATTTTATTTATAAAATAGTTATTGATAAATTTAATTAGAATAATTTTTATTCAAATTTGAAGGGTTTAGTCATTTTTTATGTGCTTTTGTCATTTTATTCATTTTTAATATTGCTATATAGTTTTGTATATATAATATACATTATCTATTATATATTTCTATATAATATTTATATTTATTTCAGTTTTTCATTAAAATTATTAATTTAATTATGGTAGTTTTTAATTAGTAGTTTTAGTACTTCAATTTTAACTTCAGCTTAAAAATAATTTCAGTTATTAGCCAATGCAACATTTCTAAGTTTTTCATCTAATATTTATATTTCAGCTTTATTCCAAATATCAAAAACAATTGAATAGTTTTTATAGTTTTAGGTTCAGTTAAAAATAAAAACCCTGAGAATTACACATTAAAATACTTTTTCAAAACTTTAGAGACAAGACAAATATTATGTGCTAAAATTATTTTATTGTAAAATTTGTGTTTTCTTTCTATTATGACTTCATCACATGACAACACAACACTATAAACCTTAAAACCCCAAACCGAGCTTTACAGCTCAAAGAATACACTACTTTTAATAAAATAATTAAATTCAGCTTCACATTTCTGCTTTTAAACCACCCAAAAATTGGCCCCATTCACTTCTATTGTAAGTACCTCAATGTAACCTCCTTTTTTAACAAAACAAGGGAGGAAACTGAACTATTTTTGGAGGAGTTCCACAAATGCTGTTGATTGAGCTTAACTTGTATTGAACCCCGAATACTGCTTTAATTACCCACATTCTTGCGACTTCTCACAGACAGCAGTTCCACTATCAGAGCCGCTGTCATAATACGTCAAGCAGCTTGTGTTTGAAAGAGAAGGACACACCTACGCACCCACCTTCATTGCAGAAAGCTGCTGTAATAACACTTTGCTCAAAGAACTTTAACAAAAGCCCAGTCTGATTCATGTTTATACAAGTCATGCTACTATCAACACTTGTTCAAGGACCAAAACTTTACCAGAACCTGAACCCCCATCCTCTCTCTTCAGGCTGGAGGGAATCTTGCGTAAATTCTCACAGGGGCGAGCTTTAACCTGAGGCCCAGCGAGTATCTCTGCATGCTTAGATGCAGAAGACCTATTCAAAGGCATGCTCTGAAATAACATAACAGCGGGTTGATTAGCTCCTGTTCGGTTCACATCTTCATACATGGCACTGACAATGCCCATTGTCTTGTTTTTCGGGATGATGAAAGCATTCTTCTGACAATCCCTCATTGAAAACAAATCCAGACTCTAGCAGCAGTAGCTTATCTGTCCTGGTGCTTGAGATTACACAAACAATGTCTTGTGTTTTTTTGAATGCAAAAACATACTGAATGACAGTGCTTTCGTCAATTATTTGAATTTTAAAAAATTGAGTCATCGAAGGATTTTGTGGTCTGTGGATGCTATTATGAGTTGAGTAGGAGCAGTTTGTACTTGAGTGTATTTGACTATTATCTGTTTGTTAGTTAGCACTAGTTCATGTTTTATGTATTCCTGTTACAGGTTCTCTGAATGTCCTCAATCCTCACTTTGTCTAAATGTAGATTTTTCACTCTCAGAAGTAAACATCATCAGCTACACATACTGCTGGCACAGTGATAATGAGGTTTTCAAGCCGTCCCATCTGAGCGAGATGATCACCGCCACAACTTGCCAAACGCATATTAAACGTTCCAAAATTTTGTCTATGTTTTGCATTGATGTATTTGCCGTCTTGCTTCCCACAGAGCCGTTTTAATTGGATGTGGGGCTGGTATTTAACTTCAGAAATGATCAAAATAAGCTTCTCTGTTCATGCAAACATGTTTAAAGGTCGTGGTGTACAGATGGAATGGGGTTCTGTTGGTGCTCATTCATGTACACATTCATTTTGAAATCTTTGATGCAGTTTTATTGCTTTTAGAATGGTCTGTCAATTAATCATTGAAACTAGGTTAAAAAAAAGAAGATGAAAAAATCTGATTCCCTATTCGTATTTAAATTCCACTATACAAAATGCTACTTATTAGAGGCTTTTGTGGTTAGTTGCTAGCGGATTTTGTGACATTTCGTTTCAAGCATTCTGGTCTAATTAATGTACAGTAGATTTACATCAATCCCTGTATGCTGTTGTGTTTCACTGTCCGTAAGTAGAGCCTGTTGTGTTCTCTAGAGGTTTATGCCTAGCCTACCTTCTTTTATGCCCTTACGTTCCCCAAAGTTGACAAGGTTTCTACAAATGAGAGTAACATTTTCAGGGGTGAAGAAGTTAATGTTTTATTCATGACTCATCTCTCTAATTGTGAGGCAAATCATCCTCTGAGAATCTGTTTGAGAAAAATACAACCAGTCACTAACCGTATATTAAAATAGCATTTCATTTCATTGATAGTAAACAGAATATTTCCAAAATGCCGAGTGAGACATCTGCATGACATTTTAATACTAGGTTAAGGCAGAGACAATTTTATAATCCTTGCCTCGTAATACTGGGAATATTTAGGGAGGTGGTGTTTTTTAAAATTCCATTCCTTTCTATTCATCTTCTGTTGTGACATCAACCCTCAAAATACCTGGCCTCAAGTGTATGGCAGAAAGGTCATGAATTTGATAAGCGTGACATGGACATTACATGTAGTGCAGAAAAGTGAGAGGAGGATCTAAAGGGTCATTATGGGAACGTCATAATGTGTCCAGTGAGTAAAAGGATTTCCCAGCTGGTATTTCAGGCAGCGATAAGACAGACAGGAATACATCCGTTATTTTTTCTCCTCCACTTTGCAGAGAATGATTACCTGATGATGAGCTTGTCTACTCTTTACTTCACAAAAACAGACTGGGTGCAGAAATCAGCCCCATTCAGTTTGAAGTCCTCCAGGCCTGAGAGGATTCTCAAGCCAATGAGCGTTTAGCACAGTAATCAGTCGCTGAAATCTGCTTTCACAAATTGCAAGGAAAACGTTCCAAAAAAATGTCAGATAATTCTGCTAAAATGAATTAGATCACAAAATTTTGTTGCAATATGCAAAAAACAAGATAAGACTAAGCAGTACCGCCGCTCCCTATACGCAGAGTACACAGTTTGCGTAGGGCCCCAGTCAGTACCGTTTCTAGGCATAGGCAAACTAGGTGGTCGCCTAGGGCGCCACCAGCAGGAGGGGGCACCAATGGGCACACGTACTGGCACTACATTTTAGCAGGGTTGTGATAAAGAGTGGCATGGCCAGCCAGAAATATGATTGCCACCCCCACTGGATCCCCCAACATCATTGGGCTAGAGTACTGTCAATCTGACAATGCCTGTCTGCCATTGGATCAGAGTGATGTCAATTGCTGCCGGATTGTTGCATGCAAAGTTTGCATTTGGAGCGCTCAACAACATCATTAGATCTATGGGTTCTGCCAGTGCTTTGGCAAAGTAACGTGTTTTTTTTTTTTTTTTTTTAGTTTTGAAATAAAGCTAAGTTCAAAGACCAATTTTAAATATTGGTACAGTAAAAAAGTGCAAAACATTTGCATTTTGTTAAAGGGGTCCTATTATGCTCTTTTACAAAGTCTTGATTTTGTTTTGGGGGTGTACTAGAACAGGCTCTCATACTAGGTTGTTCGAAAAACAACACCTCTCTCCCCAGTCTGGCTCGAATAGTTCCTGTATCAAATGAAGGCCCGCCTTCTGAAATACGAAATGTGCTGTGATTGGTTAGCTGGGCCAGTGTGTGTTGTGATTGGCAGCACTCGGAAAATCACTCGGGCACTTCCGGGCACTCACCCGGAAAATATGCGTTGTAGTCCAAACGATTCGTTTGTTGTAGTTTTTGAAAAGTGATTTCTGTTAAATAAAATATCTCCTTTTGAACTGGACTTTGAGCTTTGTAAATTTGCAGATCTTTTTTGTGCTCAAACAGCAACATTACAGACAGTATTTGTGGCAGTCGAGAAAGGCAGTATTTGTGGCAGTCGAGAAATCACGCTGCAAAATTGGTCCAAAGGCTGTGCTTTTTTGCACCAATGCATTGTTAAAGGATCAGTGTGGTGTGTGTAATATTCACATATAAAAATGTAATGGCCAATTAAAACAATTTTGGTATAGTAACATTCACTAAATCACAAGATCAATACATCCTATATTAAATTGCTTTGTTGAATTTAGCGCATCCTTACAGAAATGTTGAAATGCTGAATTAATTAATTCACTACTAACAGCACTTAATGTAAGCAGCGTCATACACATAGAGAGCAGAGCGTCACGTCATTTAAAGGGGAAGTTCACGCGTCAGTGAGTAACAAAGGAATAAGTAGCTGGAGTCTGATTACTTTTATGTGACTGATCAAGCTTTTTTATGTAGTTTGGGGTAACAAAGTTTTTTATAGGTTTGACTGAAATAATAATGAAAAAATGGACACTTTAAATCAACATTTCAAACAACAACAAAAAAAAACACATAAAGACAAAAAGTAGTCATTGATAATATCTAAACATGTATCCAAATTCAAATGTAATAACATTTATTGGGGTGGGCGGGCGCCAATTTGGATTTCGCCTAGGGCGTCAAAATGGCTAGAAACGGCCCTGGCCCCAATTCCCGGGGGGGCACCATCCCAGTTGCTCAAAAAAAAAACTTTTGTTCTATAATAATATTAACATATGCATATACATAAATACACATATAAACATGAATATATATACATAATTAGGTTATAAAAAACACATTTTACGGTGAACGCAGTAGGCAGTAGGCTAAGCACACGTGACGCGCCCGCATCCGCGCTCGCCCTCACCTCATGTTTGCGGCTGACTGCAAATGATCATAATGGACAACTATGCCCAGAAAAAAGACATCAGCAGTCTGGCACAGAGAAAAGAACAAATAAAAAAGCCCAAGATTAAGCCCGTGCATCCCTTTCAGGTAGTTACGTTCATAATCCTGTGGAACTTTTTTGGCTGTTGATGTTAATAATGTTTATTAACGCTAATTAATGTTTTAATTATCATATGATTGAATTATCATTGATGACTTCGCCTCCAGAAAAAGCAGGAGTGTGTCTTTGTAAATTTTGAAATTTGGAATGCTCCAGCAGATCAGTGTTGATTTTCGGAGTGTCTATTTACACTAAGTGCAATGGCCCGCCTTGTTGGCAGAAGCTATTTACACTAATTCTGCCCACCTACGTGTGATTGGGATAGTCAACACTACAAAAGACTATCAGCAAGCTACAGCTTCAGTGGCGTAGATGGTAAAGCGTGTGCTGTAGTTGTTTTGACGCAATCGACCCGAGTTCGAATCTGCCTTTTGCCGAACTTTTTTTCCCTCCCTTTTCAAATCTCTTATCGCATCAGAAAGGCATTTATTTTCAATAAAAATGAAGGAAATAATAGAAAAGTTGAAAATAATGTATCGGGTAGGGTTAGGGTATGTGTAGGGAGGGCTTTATTGTCCCAATAAGGTGGCATCCATTTTTTAATTTGAATTAAAATGATAATTTATACTCAATACGTTATTATTGCATACTGTTTTATAATTTACTACAATACTGAGGTGCAGATAATTGCCACTATTTGCAATAAGTAGTATAAATAGCATTTTGTCATAGTGTAAATGGAATCTATAGCTAGCCTATTTGCACTTGGTGCCAATTCGATTCGATCCAATATCGATTATTTTGGGTATATATCAGGTACAGTCCATGCCAAATTTTCTCAAGGAAAAAAATGTCAACTAATTCTGTAAAATATTTAGCAAAATACCCCTCTCTATAGTTTATTTTTCTGGCTGACTAATGAGTTTATGGTCACCAAATATGTTTTTCTGAGGTAAATGTGACGTTACGTGACATTGTTTGTTTACAAGCCATTATATTGATGTCTTTGTGCGGCTGAAACACAGATTGAGCTGTTACATGAGAATGGATACGGATTGTAAAGTTATACTCTTTCTTTCCAAAACGGCATTCCATATTTAATCTTTTAAAAAAACTTATTTAATGTATTATTTTTTTTTTGCTGTAGAGCTACAATTGTAATTTGTAAATAATACAATTTAATTACAATTTATTTATTTATTTACTTTTATGTTTTATTAAAGTTCTATTTTGACCCCTGTAGTAGGTGTTTTTTTTATTTCCATAATATTTGGGGGAGGGGCACAACAATTCTGCTTAGGGCACCCATTTGGCCAGCAGCGGCCCTGAGACTAAGACGTTCCATGTTTTCCAGTGAATGTAGATATAAGTAATTTCCTGTTGATTAATTTATTGGCCGCTTGAGATCCATGAAGTGCTTATTTCCTTTGCTTGTTTTGCAGTAATCGCCAGCCTCCTCTTTGGCTGTGTGTTTTAAGTGTGCCTGAGTAGCAGTGATTATTGGAGGAATGAGGCTGTGGTTTAACACTCTTCATTTCTCTATGTTTTGACCTACGTATTCATTGTCCTTTTGCCCTTTGCAGGAAACATATCGAAGAGCTGTACTGCCAATGGCTGGACAGAAATAAACCCAGTTGTCGTTGCATATAACTGTGGCTATGACCCCAATATCACAGAGGATGGAAATATGGTATTTTTGTATTTTTCACAAAATCTCTTTTGGCATTTAATAACTACTGTCAGAATTTACTAAAGACAGTAAAAAATTAGCAATGAAAAGGCATAGACAGTTGTTTTTGTGGCCGACCTTAATGAATGTGCATTTGTAGGAGTTTCTATTTCGGATGCAAAATTTACGGGAGGAGAGTATTAATAAATTATGCAGCGTGATTTATTACGGTGTGCGCTTGTCAGTTTACTGGTCGCCATGTATTAACCCATTCTGCTCTTGACTTAGCTGTGATAGTTGCTAATTTGCACTGCTTTTGGTAGACTGCATTAGTCATTATGGAATGATTATCTGGCTGCATCTGTGTTCTTTAATTTGCACTTTCTACTCCCGTCAGCACTATTATGGTATTGCAGTTTTAGGCTAATTTGCCCTGTTTAGTTAAAATGGTTAGTTAAAAAATAATTTAAGCAATATCACATGAGCAACAGCATACTGTTGTTCTTCCGTAATAACGGCCTTGCAGATATTTTCAGACTAAAATTTAAAATTGAGTTACTCACAATTTAGACACAATATAAAGTTAATATTATCTTAATATTACAAATCTGTTACAAAGCAGAAGCTGCTCTAATCGGTTGAGTAAATGATTCAATGACTCACTCATAAAGACAGTGGCTGCATCCGAAATTGCACACTTTCTGAGAAGGTCTTTCTTTTGAATAATTAGTTACTTGGCCACTGTTTAAAAAAGTATGTTCTATATGTGTGCAGTATCCAGACATACTACTAATAATGTAAACATACTACATTTGTCATGTTGTCATTGTAACATGACCTACCAGTATCAGTTGCGTCACTTGTTTAGTTTCTGGATGAATCCGTTTTAAACGAATCGGTTGAATAAATCAATAAAGAGAGTCTCTTGCCACCACCTACTGGTGTATTGTAAATCTAATCAAAGTAAGCGTAATTAAAATATTCAAAACAAACCAAGACTGAATTTGTAGTTCTGATTCCAGTTCTACATAATCATCATTAGTGTGTTTCTGAGTTTAGTCATTAGTCAGTCATTCACTCTTTCTTTCCTTGTAGGGTGAATTCCTGGGCTCTGTGAGAATTGGATACACTATTGGTCACACTGTGTCTCTTATATCCCTCATCATCGCCATCATCATTCTGTGCTTTTTCAGGTAAGTCCTCCATACAACTCAAAACATACCATTGACTTGTGTTATAGAACAGGACCTTGGCTCTTTATAGCTTTTGCTTTTCTCACATAGAAGAAACTCCCAAATAACTCCCATTTGATAGTTTTGTTGTCCTCAGTGAATGCCCACATTTTATGTGATTGATTCAGCTGTGATCTAGCAGCGAATCAATGTTCTGCTAAATCATACTGGTGTCAAGCCAGATGACCTTGTTCAAAATGGCCCGTTTTATATCACATTTAACAATGTGCATTGCGAAAGAGCACAGATTCAGGCGTTTGATAGGGTTATACACAGAATCCGTTATTGCACAACCTCTCAAACAAAATGGCTTAGTAGTTTGTAACCTCTAACATGCAGCTTTGCCGTGCACAAGCTTCTCAGTAGTAAATTACCCACAGTGGATGTTCCCCTCAGTGACCTCAGAGGTCAAGCCACATCTCAAGTGTATTGAAAAGCTTCCTCTTTTGGCTTGCACTTAGTTAAACAGGAACACAGATCTTGAGAGTCTTTATATATCACACACAGCATATGAGTTGCCTATGCCTCTTTGAAGGGTATAGAAGACAAGCACAGAAGACAGAAAGAGTGGCTCTCATCTCAACATGAACAGCATATATGAATGAACAACACTGTATGCACACTCTCTTGAGTGTAGATAGCAATATGTATGGAAATGTAATGAATTGCCTTGTCGTGCACATGTGATTATAATGCATTGTCGATATACAGTATATGCAGAGCCTATTATGCAGCACGTGGTTTATTGCATTTTTGCGTATCATTTATTATGATAAAACAACTTATTGTGTCTCTTTTTATCTTTACTGCTAAGAAAACTCTACTGCACAAGGAACTACATCCATATTCACCTGTTCATGTCCTTTATACTGAAGGCTGTGGCTGTAATTATGAAGGATGTAGTCCTGTATGAGGTGGAGGAACCTGATGACTGCTACTATGGATCTGTAAGTGCTGCAGCCTGCGATTAAGTAAGGATAATGTACAGTCAGTGGGTATAATTGTGATAATGACTGGCTGACTGTACATTTATGCCAATTATTTTATGTCTACTTACTTAATCTTACCTATACTTTATATTACCTTAAAGGGGTCATAGGATGCTACAGGCACTTTTACAAGTTGTTTGAACTGAAATGTGTGTTGGCAGTGTGTGTACACAACCACCCTATAATGATAAAAATCCACCCAGTGTTTTTTTTTTTATCTGGTTAAATGTTTTCCCCTTTCTCAAATCGAGCCGAGCTCAGATGCCTGTCTGTGTGACGTCACAAAAACAGGCCCCTCCCACGATAGTTTGATTGACAGTAGCGTTTCAGCACAGACTGGACTGGCGTCTTACCTCAGACCCACCCTGAGTGAGCTGTCATCAGTCCGCCTTTGTTTCACCGCCGGAGCAGATGTAGACAAGAATGACTCCTAAGCGATTGAGGTGTTCTGTTGTTGGATGTAATAATGAACATAGCAGTCGTCATTTACTCCCGACATCTGAGCCGCTGAACTTGCAGTGGATTA